TGCGCCCCGCGAGGGGAGGAGCCGCGGGGCTCTCCCATGGGGCAACCGACACAGGAGATCCTTATGATTGATTTTCTGGGACAGGGGAAAACAACAAAGGGCCAACAAAGCCTCGGCACTTTTACAAACGCAGTGCGTTTCTTTAATATGTTTTTGTGGTTTTTTTTTAATATGCCAGTGATGCTTTTTAACCCAAGCCCCGTTGCGCTCCCCAGGCTGGGCATCAGCACCCCCCCTGTGCTTTCAGGCACCTCCTGGGCTCTGCTGCCACCTGCTGCTGCTCTTTGTGGTGCCCGTTCCTGCCTTGGTAATAATTTTTCTAGCAGCACCAGGGACCAGAAGAATCCTCTTCCCCATTTACAGAAGTGCCACTGCCTCCTCATTCTTCTGATGAAAGCTCTGCAGATCCGGCAGCTGTGCCGCTGTCGGGCTCTGAAGTGAGGGAGGTTCTCGGGGCGTTCTCAGCCTCACAGGGCTGAGAAAACGAGTGAGCATCAATAGATCAGCAGGTTAATAAGATGCACTTACAAGTCTCCATAAGGGGAGCAGGTGGAGGAGGCAGGGACCTGGCCGAGCTGCAGGATGGTGTCTTGCAAACCTTTTAAAACTGCTGAGAGCCGCGGTCAGTCTGTGAGCCCGCTCGGCAGGATCCCTGGGGGCAGGGCTGCAGGTCGCTGCCTGGGGACAGGGACAGCTCCGGGATGCAGGGCTGGGACCGGCCGGGGGGGCCAGGGCTGCAGGCTGGGTTTGCTGCCTGTCTGGCAGAGCTTGTGTGCCTCGTAAGGGACGATTTTCTGTGGTTTTCTTTGCAAAATACAGTTGGGCTTTGGGGTAGAAGTGTTGCTGTAGAACAGTGAAGTCATTCAAATAAATGTGTATGATTGAAGGGCAACCCTAGACTTACTGAAAGTTCATAGTGAGTAAAGTAGCATCTAATTAATCTTCTAAAAACTGTGGGGTTGTTTTTTTTTCATTAGGGTGACCAGCTTCTGATCAAAGGAGGAAAAATTGTCAACGATGATCAGTCATTTTATGCAGATGTTTATGTGGAAGATGGTTTAATAAAGTAAGTTAAGCAGTTGTATCTGGTAATGTAATTCCCAAGCAGCACTATGGGATTTGTACAAGGTTCCTTTCTGCCATTTTTTTCTTGGAAATATGTTCCCTTTTGAAAAACAAGGGCAGGATAGCATCAGGAAAGAACTGTGCTACTGGGCTTTTGTGGCTGGGAGGATGTATGAAGTGCAAGCAGCTTGTGCTCTCCTGAGCTGTGCTGGAGAGGAGTAGGAGCAGGGTCACCCTGGGTCCTGCTGGGACACCTCGGCAGCTCCTGTGTCCTGAGCAGGTCCTGGTGTGTCCCAGCACTGCTGATGAGCACCAGAGCTGGCAGGGGAGGGACAGGGACCGGTGGGATGGGAGCTGGGGGGGTCTCCAGCAGACCCTGCTCCACGCTGGGGCTGACCCAGCCCACGAGCTCCCTGCACGTGCCCTCTCTGGGGGAGGACGCGGCCCCGGGTGCCGAGCGCTGGGCAGTGCACACCTGCCCGTGTGTGCCCATGGGCAGTGCTTGGCACAAGCTGCTTTTGCATCCTCACCTGAAAGCTGTTGCCAGTTAACAGGGGGATCCTAATGTCACTTCCAGACAGATTGGAGAGAACCTGCTCGTTCCGGGAGGAGTGAAGACGATCGATGCCTACGGGCAGATGGTGATGCCGGGGGGGATCGATGTCCACACCAGGCTGCAGATGCCCATCATGGGGATGACCTCTGCTGATGGCTTCTTCCAGGGCACAAAAGCAGCCCTGGCTGGAGGCACCACAATGATCAGTAAGATAAGCAGTATTCAAACAGGCTTCTATGTAGGACATGGTTTAGGAAAACACATGGGGCCTTTTATCATTGCAGAGATTATTTACCCTGATAGCCAAGAAATGCTAATTTTTGCTGTAGAAATCAAAGCATTACAGAGCTCATTAAAATGCATTATGTACCTTTCAGAACCTGCCTCCGTTGCTACACACACATACTAAAAATATATATCTGGTCCTGCTTCACCTCATAAGAGGACCAAATAGAAGAAAACTGTAAGGACCTTGTAATATGTTTTTAATAGCTCTTCACCTGTGTATTTATAGGAGTTTTTCAGCTCTGTGAGCACGGCTTCTGGTTTTGTGTTAATGTAAAGTAATTTTGGTTTCTGTTTTGCTCTTGTTCTGGTCTCACTGTGGCATTTAACTGCAGGACCAGACTCTGCAAGTCCTGGCGTAGATCTGTACTGACCTCACAGCCAGTTCTGCAGGGAGCAGGGACAAAGATAGGACAAGGGCAGTAAGTGATGGGTGGGGAATGCCTGAGGGAGCTGTGCGAGGCTGTGCTTTGGTCACCAGCCCCCCTGAGCTGCAGGGGAACAAAGGGCAACAACATGGTTGTGACAGCGGGTTAGTTTGTTCCGTCTGTTTCACCCGGGGAAGCGTTTCCTCCTGCGTCTTCGAGCAGTGCTATGGGAAGGAGAGGGGGTGAGAATGTCTCCTTTTCGGAGCAGCAAAGCCTTGCCCAGGGGGCTGCTGGGCTGCCCCGCTCAGGGTGGTGTCTCCGCAGTCGAGCACGTGTGCCCCGCGGCGGGGAGCAGCCTCCTGGCCGCCTTCGACCGTCGTTGCGCCCCCCGCCAGGCCTGCTGCGACTACGGCCTCCACGTGGACATCCCGCGCTGGCACGACGGCCTGGGCGAGGAGCTGGAGGCCCTGGGCAAGGACAAGGGTAAGCACAGCCACGGAAACCCACCTGGGGAACTCGGGGAAACGGGGTTGGGTGCCCTGGTCCCGGCTGCCTGACAGACCTGGGGGTGTTCAGGTACAAATGCATTCGTAGGATCATAGAATCGTCCTGGTTGGGAGGAGCCTTGAAGGTCATCAAGTCCAACCATAACCTAAATCCCCCTACCATAACCTAATTTACCCATTCAGTGCTTAAATCATGTCTCTAAGCATTATATCTGCATTTCTTTCAAACACTCCCAGGGATGGTGACTCCACCACCTCCCTGGGCAGCCTGTTCCACTGTCCAACCACTCTTTGGGTGAAGAAATTCTTCCTAATACCCAGTCAAGCCCTCCCCTGGTGCAGCTTCAGGCCATGTCCTCTGGTCCTGTCATTATTCACTTGGGAGAAGAGCCCAGCTCCCCCTCCCTACAACCTCCTTTCAGGCAGTTGTAGAGGGCAATGAGGTCTCCCCTCAGCCTCCTCTTCTCCAAACTAAACAAACCCAGTTCCCTCAGCCTCTCCTCGTAGGACTTGTTCTCCAGATCTTTCCCCAGCTTGGTAGCTCCATGGACACACTCCAGCAACACAACATCCTTCTGGTAGTGAGGGGCCCAGAACTGCACACGGGACTCGAGGGTCAAGTCATGGTTTATAGGATGAAGCTGAACTTTGGGCTTTCCACAGAGATTTCATTAGTGCCTGTAATTCCTGCACACCCTGAGGTGCCCCCTGGCCACGGCCTATGGGAAAGGAGGCCCCAAAGCAGGAATTAATCCATTTCATGAATACCCACTTCCATGTTTGGAACTACATTTTGCTTTCTGATATGCTAATGGAGAGCTAAGTGACTTTGGTGTGATTTGCAGCCTTGCAAGCAGGGCTTAATTGGTCCATTAACATAGACATTTGCAGTGTTTCCTATTAAAATGCAGAGTGGCTGAAGCTATTCTGAGTTTATTCTGGGTATTTTTCACATGTATGGTCCCATGAAATACAGTTTGCTTGTAATTTGATCATCATTTGGGATTAGTTGTTGCCTCTATCCCTATAAACTACAGCAGCAATTCTCCATCTTTGAATCAGTGCTTCTGTGTTTTGTCCTGGAAGTGAATTATTGCCTGCAATGCTGCCTGCAAAGTACTGCACATCTGCTCCTCTAGCCATAAATAACAGTGTTCTAATATTAGAGAGACTTTTCTTTTGATGTAATTTGTAGTCTTGGCACTAATACACTAATTCAAAGACAGTTATCTGGAAGAAGCTGGGTATAAACCATAAATTGAAACCAGCCCTGAAGAGAAAACTCAACCTGGGAGCAAGATGTTTGATTCTGTGGGTTCAGAGCAAGTGACTTCAAAGCACTTGGTATGGGCTGTGGGGTTTTGTGGTCAGGGCATCCCTAGGTAGGGGGGGTCCACAGGGTGTGCTGTCTGTCACAGCTCCCCAGCTTTGGGCTTCAGCTCCTGTTTCAGCCCTTTCTTTGGTTTCAGTCCAGCCCTGGCCTGCCTAGACACCCCAGGCTCAAATGCCTCTGCTCAGCCCATGCTGGGTAGCCCAGGTCTCAGCTGGGACAATAAACATTTTGTTTTCTTTGCTGCAGGTGTGAACTCCTTCCTGGTTTTCATGGCCTACAAAGACAAGCTGCAGTGCACTGATGCCCAGGTAACGCAGCCATCCCGTGCCCAGGGACAGCCTGGGAGCGTGGGCTGTGCTGGAGCTGCCCTTGGCACCCTCTGTCCCTTGGCAGATGTACCAGATATTCTGCATGATCCGAGACCTGGGGGCCATCGCCCAAGTGCACGCGGAGAACGGAGACATCATTGATGAGGTGGGTGTTCCTGCTGGGGGCAGCATCAGGCGCACCAGGGTGTTTGGAGGGAGGCAAAGTGCTGACTTTGCCAGCGGGGAGGTGGAGCTGTGCCAGGTCCCTTGGAGCCTTCAGGTTCCATAGGGATCGGCCCAGGTGGGGGAGCAGCCTGCGCTGGGCACAAGGTGTGGGAGCACTGGGAGGTCCTGCTGCACTCAGCAGCATCCCCAGCTCCTCACATGTGCTCCAGGGTCATAGAATCACAGAATCATTCAGGTTGGAAGGGACCTCAAAGATCATCAAGTTCTAACCCCCCCTGCCATGAGCAGGAAACCCTCCCACCAGACCAGGCTGCACAAAACCTCGTCCAACCCGGCCTTACAAACCTCCAGGGATGGGGCATCAACAACTTCCCTGGGTAATCCATTCCAGCTCCTCACCACCCTTAGAGTAAAGAATTTCTTCCCAATATCTAACCTAAATCTCCCCTCTTTCAGTTTAAAACCATGACCCCTTGTCCTGTCACTGCCCTCTCTGATGAAAAGCCCCTCTCCAGCTTTCCTGGAGCCCCTTCAGGCCCTGGAAGCTGCTCTCAGGTCTCCCTGGAGCCTTCTCTTCTCCAGGCTGAACACCCCAACTCTCCCAGCCTGGCTCCAGAGCAGAGCTGCTCCAGGCCCTCTCCAACAGGTCTATATCTTTCTTGTGCTGAGGGCACCAGAGCTGTACACAGCACTCCAGATGGGGTCTGAGCAGAGCAGAGGGGACAATCCCCTGCCTGGCCCTGCTGGCCACACATCTTGTGAGGCAGCCCAGGACACAACTGCCCCTCTGGGCTCCAGCACACACTGGTGGCTCATGTCCAGCTTCTCATCTACTGCCACCCCCAAGTCCTTCTCCTTGGGGCTGCTCTCCAGCCATTCTTCCCCCAGCCTGCATTTGTGCCTGGGTCAAAGACAACGTGGGTAACCTCAATCCAACCCAGAGTCTGTTCCAGCTTCTGTCACCGTGGGGTCCTTGCAGGGATGATTTTTCCCCCTTGTGACATGAGGTTGTGTCAGGGGGGCCAGGGCTCCAGAAATGCTGCCACAGCAGGAGATGGGCCCACTAGGAAGTGGCTGCAGTGGCTTGTGGCATGTCACAGGTGTGAGTGGTGCCACCTTGTCACGCTCGTGACTCCCCATCCCTCTCAGGCACTTCTGAGCAAGGGCTGTTGCCCGCCCACGTTGCTTTGGCCGGGCTCTCCTTCCCACTGCCCGCTCTTCCACCCAGGAGCAGAAGCGGCTGCTGGAGCTGGGGATCACGGGGCCGGAGGGGCACGTCCTGAGCCGGCCCGAGGAGGTGAGACCCCAGCCCCCTGCAGCCCCCCAGCCAGGCTCAGCACCAGCAGGGCTGCCCCACACCTGTCCCTGTGCCGCAGGTGGAGGCCGAGGCCGTGTACCGCGCCATCACCATCGCCAGGCAGGCCAACTGCCCCCTCTACGTCACCAAAGTCATGAGCAGAGGAGCAGCAGATGTCCTGGCGCAGGCAAAGAGGAAAGGTAAAGCCTTGTTTCCTGCTTGCACACCGGTGGAGCCTGTTTCAGTACACCCAGGAATATCATCCCAGCTGCAAGGCTTAGGAACTCGTTATCACCCAAATTCTCTCACATTCTAAGGGTGTTAAAACTGGGTGTTGGCTTTTCTTGGCAGCCTGTGCCAGAGCTAATTGCTCTGAGCTGGAAAGGTTTCAGATGTGCTTGAAAATTTGACACCTGAATCTTGGTAGGCACAGCTAAAAAAAGGAAATAATTCACCTTCAGTTGTTTGTCATTAACTAGATGAGAGGCAGATCTGGAGCAGGCTTCACGTTCAGGCTGGGGGTAGAGTGGGAGGGGTTGGAAGCAATCGGGTGGGGAGTGGGGTGGGAACCATGCCCAGGGTCTGCAGCCCCCCCTGCCCCAGCCAGGAGGTGGCAGAGCTGGTGGTCCAGTGCAAGGGAAGGCACGATGGTTTGAGGACATGGATGGAGGTTTGGTCTAAGGGGAAAGCAGACAGATTCAAAGCTTTTTATGACTGTTTCCCAGTCATCTGAGATAAACTAAATTATTAATGCACATTTAAAAAGCTGACATACTGGGAACACTGAAATAAGTGAAACCGTCTTGTGTTGTTAGGGCATGGATGAGGGGGAGGTTTTTAAGGTGAAAGAGGGTAGATTTAGATTGGGTATTAGGAAGAAATTCTTCACTATGAGGGTGGTGAGAGCCTGGCCCAGGTTGCCCAGGGAAGCTGTGGCTGCCCCATCCCTGGCAGTGT